AGGAGCCCCGGGACAGCCCGGGCCTGGGCGGGAGGCGAGAGGCCTGAGCGGCCCGCCGGGCGCTGGGACCCCGCACAGCCCTTCCCCAGGGCCGGGGCTGCTGCTCAGCCTCGGCTCCAGCACGGGGGGAGGAGAGCGGGTTTCTCCAGGTGGGGACGTCCCTTCGGCCTGTAGGCAGGGGAGCAAAGGGGTGGGAAGGTGAGAGGGCCTCAGTTTTGCTGCCTTGAACAGAGGCAGAACTGACTGTTTTCTGTCGGAACTTGAGGTAGAAAGAGCTGGTTGAAGGGAGTGGTTAAATTGTACAGCAGGGAGTACCTGAAGTATTTGTCTTCTGGTGCTCTCCTACTTACAGCTTCTGAAACACCTTCCACACGGTACTCGAGAGATGAAACACTAAGATACTATTCATTAATAAAAGATGTTAAAATCACAGTGATATCAACTTAACCAGATCAAAAGAATCTAAAGTATCTTTAGAGATAATATCGTGCCCACAACCAGGGAGAAAATGTGCATAAAGAGCTGAGCTTTCTCTCAAATATTTACACAGGCTTTCCAGTTTTTGTAGTCAATTTGATGAGCAGGTTGCACTGGCATGAATCTTCATACTTATTTTGAAAAGCATTTAAGCGTGTATATGTCTGCAAATAAAATTGTTATGCATATGAGGACAGCCAAAGAAATGGAAGAGAAGCATTTTGCCTCAGTCAGGAGGCAAACACCTGAAATAAGCTGTAGTTGGCCTCGCTGTGTGCTGAGGTGATCTTGAAGTGATGAATCTGAGTGATTCAGTGCCTTTGGTGAACTGATGGAACTTTGTGTGTATTCTTTGTTATTGACTATGAAAAATTAATAGAGTTTTATTCTTCTTTAACTCTGGGGGTTGCCACCCAGCAGACAAAGATTCAAAGCAAATCCGTGGAGTTCCAGGAAGACATCTAAGTGGTAGCAGAAAACTGTAAGCTTGTGCTTCTTATTCTTTGAGTAGCAGCTCTCCCCTGAAAATAGGATATGCAGTGGCTGGTGAACTTTTAATCTTACTTTTATCTGACTGAGTTCTGATTTGTGGTAGAGAAGTTACGTATCTATAGATCACACAAATCAGGTTTTGTGTATAGTCCTTCAGTTACTCTTTTCTGTTTCGAGGCTTGTTTCTACCTTACAGGCAAGTTTCCATATTTGTGGTCCAGTTCTTGAGGCGAGTGTTCAGAATTTGCAGTTTTAGTGAGAAACCATACTTGGTGCCTTGGGGATTAGCATCAGTTACATATATGGTTTTATTACACTTTGGTTTCTGTTCTCCATCTTTTGAGTTTAAGATCATTAATTCTTTTTAGTGGTGTAGCTTTTTTATTTTATTTCTTGTAGCATCTGTGGTTTTTATCTTTGTAAGATTCTAACAGCTTGAGGTACATTGTTTTAAATGCAAAGACTTAGAGCCAAAATTATCCAGGAACATTTGACAGTTTTGTTATTATATTTTCATTAGTTTTACTTTAGTGCTACTATAGAAAAGGCATAGCTGTAAGAATTTTCTGCTGGAGAGTGTATAAGAAATGTATTCAGCAAATAATTGGTGTTTGGTCTTACCAGTAAAAACACTGCCATGTCTGTTGGTGTGCTCTGTTCAGTGCTTTGAGGTAACCAATGTGCTTTTTATGGCTGGGAAAACCCAACTTCTGGTGGTACATGTTGCAGTTTGATGGCAGTGGTATTACTGGATCTTCTGACTCTCACCATTGACCTTCCCTGCATCCAGAGCATTCAGGCTGGTAATTTCTAGTGTCTGTAATTTGGGTGATGTTTCCATCTGTGTTTATGTTGAGTTCATCTCCAGAAGATGAGGTCTGGGCTCATGACTTCTGGAGCTGCTGGTATTTAGATCTGTTCCCATTAGGGACTGAGTTGTTTTCTTCTGTTAGTTTCACAGGGCTTAAGTCAGAGCGTTGATTCAGGTAAACACAGAACTAGTACTAAAGTGCAGAGCACATGTTCAGTTAAACTACTCAATTAAAAAAACCAACATGTATATTTCCTGAATTCATTAAAGCTGTTGGGTTTTTTGTTTCAATATGTTATCAGCTGACATTCTGGAGTCATTCTACTGGTTGATCATGTAATTCCAGGACTTTTTGTCGCTCAAATTGCAGATATTTTACTGTGTACTTCTTTCCTATTCTTTGATATAACAGTATGATCCTGCCATATCTTAATTCTCAATAAGTTCTTTTAGAAGAGTTCATTGGTAAGAAATTAATTCATAGCTATATAAGAGGTGATTTTCCTTGTGTAATACATAATATCCTTTGAGGTAATTTTAATGCAATAATGAGACAAAGCAACTTAGCTAATTGAGGTATTTTCAGTACACCTAGTCATTAGATAAAGGAGAATGACAAACACCTCAGTGTAGTGAAGCCTCTTTTATGTAGTCAGAGTGATGTTGCTTTTTTTTTTCACCTTGATTCTTTGTGATTTCACTAGAAAAGAGTGAAACTTCCTTGCAATAATTGTGCCAGCATTAAGTTTTAGATAGTACAGCTGTTTGCTTAGATTTTTAAACATTTATGCATTTGTCTTCAGGCATCTAGAAGTGAAGCAATTACTGTCAGTCAGGAACTGGACTGCCTTCATCATTCCCACTATGCCTTTCTGCTTTACACTGAGCACAAAGAACTCTCTTGTGACTTTTTAAAATGAGTTAATCAAATTTATTCAGTGAAAAATAAAACTTCTTCATGTTTTTTCTCACTTGCAAATTGTATTTTCCTTCTGCTGTCTTCTGAATTGGTTTGTTGTCTTGGTAGCATCATGTGCTGAAATAGGCTACCTGAATCATGAGATGTTTGAAGCAGCTTCCTTTAATAATGCATTACAAAGAGAGACTTTTCTTGAGGATGGGTGTCCCTTTATAGATAATCTTCTGCAGCACAAACTGGGGCATTTTGCTCTAAGCAACACTGCCAGAAAGACAGTCACTATACTAGAAGGGGTTCCTAAAAGGCATACTGTTTTAAAAGTGTCTTGTTTCATTCCATATTGGATCAAGCACAACACAAGAGTCAAATCCAGACTTTTCTGGAGTGGTTTTACTCTTATTTTTTCATTAAGACTCCTCTTTTTCATCTGTCTGTCCCAGGTGGCAAAGCTGGCAGCTCTTTCTTCTGGTCTGCCATTTGCATGTATCACTGTGTATGCAGCAACAGAAAAGGAAGCAAAAGGTCACCTGGTAAAGCCAAATCAGGTAAGACCCTTAGTATTTGTCAGTCTCTAAAATAATACTGGAAGAATCTGAAGAATGTCATCTCTTCCCATTGAATTATGTTACTCAGTAAATAAAACACGTAGATAATAGGTGATAACAGAATTTGCTTCCTGATTAACTGGCCACTGTAGCACAAATAAAATGTGAAGTGTTACAGCAGGAAGCTAATAAAGTTTTATATCATTTTTATTATGACATTATTTCCAGACTGAAGCCAGAAAATGTAAGAGATCATAGTCACTGGTAACAAGTCTTTTTCTATTGTACAATTTCTAGTAATATTTGCATGCATCTTCCAACCATTCTTGCTCATGCTTTTTCTGAATAAAAGGTATTTTTATCCCACTCAGTAATTCTACTTCTTAGAACCTATCCCAGTACTTTCAGTTCTCATTTCTCAGGAATTAACCTGCAGTCACCCTTGTGTGAACTCAGTTTGTAAATACAAAAGTGCACAATCTGAAACAGAAATGCTGTTTTGCTGTAGTGGGGACACTAAGGATTTGCAGTCTGGAAAAACACTTTTCAATGGAAGTGCTCATTAGTATACAAAGCCATCTCCCTGCAACACAGTTATGCTTTTCTTCCCAGCTCCCAATTTACTGTCCACCCCCTCTGAAGTTGAAATACATTGAGGAGCAGCCTGGACACCTGCAGAAGCAGTTGTCTTCAGTCCGGCAGACAACCGGCCGCTACCTTGGCTGGTGCAGGGTAAGACATGCATCCCAAGTTTGTTGCAGTTCCCAACAGCACTTGACTAAAATGCTGAAAAAAGAGCGTACTGGAGTTTTGTGGGTTTTTTTGCAGTGCCTTGTTTTTCTTTTAAGATGCAAAAATTAACCTTTCTGTTTGTTTTTATCTCCTGCGCTTGTGACAGGGAACATGTGTGTTCTGCTTGTTTTCCAAATCAAAAGGCAGCCAGATGAGTAGGTCCCCTTCAGTCAGTGCTGAACTGGATCTAGGCCAACCCACAGTGTCAGGGTCAGAGATGTCTCTTGGTTACCTTCTGCAGCAGGAGTTACCTGGGTAAATTCTTGCTGGCAGAACTGGATAAGTATTTAGGAGTCTGAAATTCCAGGTGCAGTGCAAGGACAGAGAGAGCTGCTTCCAGAGCACGGGAAAGACAAAACTGAGTGAGTTGCATCAGGGTAGCTGTTAAAGCAGGCTAGTGCCAACTAGTCATCAAAAATACCTCCCAACACTGCAAATGAGTGTTCTGGGCATAGAGGAAAATGTGGAATCTGTCACTGTTCTCTTAATTGCTAGTAAATAACAACTTCACCCTGGCTGCTGTTAGTGTGAAATTGTATCCTTGTGTTTTTATCTTACAAAAAACCTGGACCCTATTATTTGGAAAAAGCAAGGAAACGAAAATGTCTTCCTGTACTTCCTGTAAATTTCTATTCCATTGGTCTGTGAAAATGTCTTCAGTGACTGCATAACTGAAATAATTTAGTTATAAATGTGCATCAAACTTTTTCATTCCTTAATGATCAAATGAGTGTTTCCAAGCTTGCCAAGCAGTGACCTCTGGTGGTACAAATTGTTGCTGAAAACAAACTTATTTCAGTGAAGTAAGTCAAGATGACAGGGTTTTTCCATTAATCTCCTAAAGAATGTGTGTTTACTTAACTTGTTTAGCAGTCTCAGGACAATGACAATAATATCTTCTGGATAAATAAAAACTTTTAATGAAGTAAATTGACCAATTTGAAGAGAGTAATGTAAACCACTTGAACACACAGCTGTAGACCAAAGAAATCATTATTGCTTATCTTTAGCAAAACTGAGCACCATTTTTACAAAGTAAAAGACAAAGTCAGTTTTAGTGGGTAAGTTTCTCTAAGGAAGAGGAGATTATAATTTATAATTGAATTTTCTTGTGTTAAACACTTGGCATCCAGATGTTTTGCTGCCATACACTTTTGTTCCTCATATGTCAATTTTGGAAGTGATTATACTATATTAAAGTGATTTTTAAGAATTAAATATGGATGGAGGTTTTAAATATATGAATATGGTAGTCAAAAAGGAGATAGATCCCAGCACAGCCTCTGTAGAAGTTCACTGATCTGGTTTGTTTTTTTAAAGCTACATAATGTCTTATTGTGTTGAGCCATATGTATCAACCGAGTAATTTTTTACTGTAAACATTTACTTTTGCAAAGTTTCTACATTTATTTTGTTTTATTTGGGTTTCTGTTGTGTTTTTTTGTAGGATGCTTTTGTCTTTGTTAAAAATGGAATAATGGATTCCATTCAATTTGGGAAAGGTAGGCAAGTCACATATTTCTGATTTGAGCATTTTGTGTTGTTTCTCTTTGCAATGAGAAAGATGACTGAAAAAGCAAATTCTAGTCAGAAAGGGAGGAGGGGAAAAGGGAGTGCCCTGGAATACTTATCTCAACTGTGGGCAGAAATAAGTGGGACCAGTTTCATTTCTATTCTCAAATGAGGGACGTTACCAACGAAATTTCTCATTCCTTTGATTTTAGCTTTGTTCTTAAAGTCACAGCCTCCTTGAAGCAGGAATCTCTGTAGATCCACAGCTCTCTCTAGAGAGGCACCTGTAGATCATGGAGTCCAATCACCTGCTTGAAGCTGGGCCAAAGCAGGTTGCTTGGCTCTCTGTCCAGTCAGGTCCTGTGGGAATTCCACAACCTGGCTTAATTATAAAAATGGCTTCTTAATCCTAGCCAAATGACAAGCAGTATCTGTATTCACTTTCAGGATCAGGAGCTATTGATAAAAGTTATTTTCTTTTAAAATGGTACATTGGGAGTTTACAAAAGATGTTTTCTCATTTGAGCTGTAACAGCTCACAGTAAAATCAAAACCTGGAACTATGCTTTCCTTTTCCTTTATTAAGGACTAACTTTTTACAAAACACAAAAAAGTGTCTAAAAAAGAAAATTTTGAACTTTGCTGAGGCCTGTGATTTTTCTGGTTCTGACACAGACTGCAGAGTGTGTAGCTGGAAAACAAGGCATCTTCAGTCATTAATTAAAATCCAGTCTCAGACTGTTTTCAGTTTTGCATATTCATAATTTACTTCCATCTTTATTTCTGAAGTGAGAAATAAAAAAGTATTAATCTAGAACCTACTATGCTTTTTTTTCCTTCTTTTTCTCCTTAATTCCCAGATGCTTACATTTACCTGAAGAATCCACCACCAGATTTTCTTCCCAAAGCTGGTGTCATCACAATATCGGGCTTAGCTGGCATAGTGCTGGCAAGAAAAGGTAGGGGGTTTGCTTCTTTTCGTTCCTGGTGTGTTGAATATGTAGCACGTAGGGATTTTAATGGTCAAAAGACTTTTCTGAAACATAGGCAAAAGCCTATTAATTAAAATAAATCCTTCCTGATAAACAGATGGGGTATTATTGAATATTTCTTTTAAAAACTGACTAACGTTTAATAGAGCAGGACTATATAGTTATTTTAATGGTAGAATCCACAGAAGGTCAAAGTAGGACCCTCGTTTGTTCAGGATTGATTTTCAGAGACAATGTGCACATGGGAGGAAGTAGGAAAATTAACAGTTAAGGTTAGTGAATATAGTGAAAACTAAGGGAGTTTAGAGGGAAGATGCTAAAGAGTGTAGGCATTTGACTCACAGGTACAAGAGAATGCACACCAGAAGGCATGGTTTTGGCAGCTTTGAAGTCAAAAGGGTAGTTTAACAGATACAGCCACCTCTCCTTTCAGGATAAATATTAGAGGAATAATACTTAACCTGCCAGGAAATACTGTTGTGAAGATGTTAAGCTGTAATACCTGAGTCTATGTCTTACCTGAGTATTTCACAAAGAGCATGTGTTATTCAAAGTATTGGCAGATTAGTAAAAGCATTCTTCTTCTATTCCTGTTAGTTTTTGGTGGGCAGGTGGTAAAAAAAAAAAAAAAAGACTTGGGCTTGAGAATCTGTCATCAGGGCTCCTTGTCACCAAACAGGGACCTGAGCCTGGCCCAGCCCTTGTCACACTGGGACAGAAAGGCCCCTGTTTCCAGGCTCCTGGCTGCTCCAGATGTTGCAGTCTGTGTCCTCAAGGAGGTGGGCATGGAGCTAATGAAGAACCACAGCAGCTCCTAAATGGCACATCTTGCACAATACTGGAAAGTGTTAACTTGGGATTATATCTCATTCAGGAAACCAAAGTATCAGTATCTCCTGCAAAAGTGCCTGGACTGAACTATGATCACACTTATTTTTTCTTCCAGCTGTTACGGGGATAACAATAATTAGGGGTTAAACAATTGCATTTAACTGATACAATTGCTTAGCTTTAAATTTCATTAGTGTCTAATTATTTTAAATATTTGGCTTTATACAGGTTCTAGATTTAAGAAAATTGCTTATCCACTGGGACTTAGTACTTTAGGAATTTCTGTTTGTTACCCAGCTCAAGCAGTGGTGTTTGCTAAGGTAAGTCTACTTGTATTTTAATATTGAATTAACTGTGAATTTTGTCAGAGAATTCCCATTTCACTTGAATTAAGTGTCATGAGTCAGAATTCTCATATATCTTCATTAAAACATATAATGTATCCCAGGTGCTAATTGCATGACTATAAAAAATAAATAAAGTATCTGACTTTAAAAATGCAGTTGTATAGCCTCTCAGTTTTTAATCTTAATACTCCATCCTACTAAAATAAAAGTAAATAAGAAATAAAGCCTTGCCAAAGTTGATAGATGTGCAGTGTAAGATAGTGTACAATGGCAGCTCTTAGCTTGTTATGTAGGAAAGCAGAACTACACCTAATATTTCACAGGCAGGAATTGTTTGCATGGAGTACTTTCCTACACAAAAGGTGAAATAACAAGCAGGATATAAAGTCTGTTTATTTTTTCCATCTCTGTAGTTTTCCAGTGTTTCCCTATTTAGAAGAGCACAGAATTCTTTGTAGTTCCTTGACAAACTTTGTATTTATAGATTCAAAACTGTGCTTCTCTGTCAAATTGATGAGATAAGGAAATTTGGTTTAGTTAGTTGTGTTTGTTTCTAGGACTTTTCATTAAATTATCAGATTTAAGTTTTGACAGAAAGATTTATGGAACATTGTCCTGAAATCTGACTGAAAAAACTGCTGGTGAATCTTTAACATCCTATCATTGTTACTGTTACTAATTTTAGTGGGGTGTTTTTATTTGGTATTTTTGTATTTCCACAGTTCTTAGGAAGATAGCACCAAGACCTGTACTGTGGTTGAGGTCTTTGGACAATCTTATATTGCTAAACTGATCTGGTTTTTTATGTAAATCACTTTCTCAAGAGGCAGTGGGATTTCTCTGCTCATGATCATAAGGCTGAGGTGTCAGGTTGGCATGACAGGGAATGCTACACTGCACGGGACGACCTGGCTCAGGAAGCTAAATCCTTTCTTCTTACTCCCTTCCATGATGCATCACCTCCTGCAGGTCTCTAGTTGCAGCTGTAGAGTACTCTGTTTCTGCAGAGGGTTACTGCAGCATTGTAAAACTGCTTTTTGAACACAGGCTAAAGGACTTGGCCATTTGTAAAGCAAAGCACTGCTCACTGCCAGGTCATCTTCTGGGGCTTTTTCCTTTTGTGTTACTGTCTTTGGTCATTTCCAACATAGTGAGGCAAGTTTGGATCCTTTAGAATTGCTGCTCCAGTATGTTTTGCTAACACTGCCAAAACCCTGCTTGCTGATCAGGTTTTGATTTAATTTTGAGTAGCTGTAGTAGGAGGTGAAGGCTCCCTGTGAATTTCTAGTATCAGTTTAAACAGTATTTTAGAACTATGCACTAGATTTTGAAGAGTGGATGACTGAAATGTCTTAGCATGAGGTCAAGGTCTTGTGCAAATAAAATGTATTTTCCTTGAATGGTCTGTTTATCTTAGTATTTTTAAAGTTGCCATTAAATGACATGTGTCTCAAAAAACAGGTAATGGGGAAAAAGTTCTCCTCTGCAAGCCATCAGACGTACGGAGCTGTGCGGTCACTGTGGGCAAGGAGCGAGGGTGTCCCCAAGGTAGGCTGGCTGGAGTCATCACTGCAACCCAGAAACCCTAAGGGAGAAAAACAAAATTAAAAGGTCAGGTACTGTGCTGGGGATGCTGTGTAAGTTTGCTCATCACTACTTAATAGTGGAGGACACAAACTCCTCTGTTATTTTGTAATTCAGTGTTTCATTAATGGAATACTCGTGGTACCTTCCAGACCACCAGGTGTTGCAGCCCCCAGTGTAGCCCCACAGTACACACAAGATGCACAAGAGAAGACTGAGTTTCTCTTATAGCTCATTTTTGATCTTGACAAAAATAATCCTTCCTGCTTCAAGCTTTGGTCCTAAGCAGACCACTGAATTTAAGATACAGACACAGAATTACAGTAGGCATGACTAGCTTATTCTTAAACTTACCAGTGAAGGAAATTTCACAGCCCTTCCAGGTAGTCTAATTACTCTGAGAAACAGAATTGTCTGTGTCTGATTTTTTTGTTCTTGTTTTTTTGTTTGTTTTTTCTTGTCTTGTCTTCATTGCAGCTATAGTGAATAAATGGTCAGTAACTTCTCTAGAGTGACCTGTTACATGTGGAAAATTTATCATGGTTTTTGACATTATCTTCTCCCTAATAAAGCCTTTTCTTACAGAGTAGGCTTTCTAACCCTTACATCCTTCTTGTTCTCCTCTGTGCTTTCTCTAGTTTTTCCTTTCTTTATTTGTAGGGGGTTTTGTGTGTGGTTTGTGGTGTGTTATTTTTGTAAGTGAGGTGCTCATCATAGAACATAGTAAACCAGCTGAGCCCTTGCCAGTACTAAGTAGGGGGGAATATTAACCTCCTGTAAATCACACATGGAATTTGAGTTAGTATATCCTAGAATTAAACATACTGTTTCTGCAATCTGAAAGGGTTTTTTTGCAATGGAAGTTTGAAGACCCCTGACAAAAGTAATACTTCCCTGAGTAAAATGTAATGCATACACAGTTGGTTTTTCATTCTCTTTTTAAAGAAAATGAAAGTTTCTCAGTCATAATACCATTTGGAAGCATTTTACTTTAAATGTATGGTCATCATTTGTATGCAGTCCTCACCTTTTTTTTTTTTAACACTGAGGAGTGCAAATGGAATTCTGAATTTTGACAATGAGATTCAGGTAAATGTAATTAAAATGACAGTAAAACAAGAACAGATGTGGTAAGGACAGTTTCTGTTAACTTTATTTATCTCCCTGAATGAAGCCTGTTCCCAAAGCAATATATTATTTTTCATTACAAAGGTGTTACCATGATTTATCTTTCCATCCTCTGTTAACTAGGAGTAGTAAGTGTTCTGTAAAAACTATATGCCATTTCATTCATGTAAGACTTTAGGTTCCTCATCTGTCAATGAGTAATGACTTCCTTGTGAAGGACTTGGAGGCTCTCAGGTCAGACTGCAGTGTCTCCTCAGTGTCAGGCTGCAATAATCTCCCTCCTGATGAAGGAAACTTCCTTACCTGTGAATTTGAAGTTACTGTGTTTGAACTCTGGGATTCTTCCCTCCATTTTATTTTTGGTAGCTGTGTCCCTTGACTGCAACATTACTATGGTGTAATTTCTGAAAAAGATAAGCTTTCAGACTTGAAGGCTTTATTTTGCAATCATGTACTGAGCATATACCCATGGTTGTTGGCTTTTTTTCATGTTTGGTTTCCAGCAGCAAGAGACAAAATCGGTTACGCAAGAAGATAAGAAGAAAAAAGACATTTCTAGTACAAAACCTGAGTCTGCTATTGAATCAAGACCATTTAACAGAACAGCATCTTCTCCAGTAGAGTCTTGGAGTAATAAAGATCCAGTGCCTTCATCAGGTGAGTTAAAAATGTCAACCATAATCTCAGAGAAGCTCGCAGATCCAGGGCAAACTGAATTACTTGACTTAATTTTGTAGTTACCCTTGCTTTAAAATGGACCAGACTGTCATAGCACATTATTCTTGAGAATATATGGTGCGCACTCTCATTTGATACATACTTCAGAGCCTCAGGGAGGTGATAATTTTCTCACTGTGGACCCTGTCACGGGATCAGAATTCTTACATATTTGTTGTGCTTTCTCAGTAATGTTTCCATATGGTGTGGCACATACCCCATACCATTAGCAATGAGATGATATCATCAAGTACTCCTGTTAAATACCTACTTTAAATTAGCCTTCTGTTGTCAGAATTCTATCCGTGCAATTGAAAGGATTACTGCTGGATTTTTGTGAATTACTGTTCATTTCTCTGAACAGGCTCCCTGCCTTCAGGCACTGGGGAAAGAGGAATGTGTGGCTGACAAATGAAGCACTGGATTTTATTTTGCTAGGGTTTTTGCAGTGATGTACTCTGTGCATCTTAAGTGGTTGAGATAATCAACTGTATCATGTAACAGCATGTTTAACAAACAAATATTTTGATAGGGCAATTGCTAAGAGAAATAGTAGAATTACCTATGAAAGGAGATTTAAATTTGTTTTTAAATATTGTTACCTTTTGTAGGGGCAATTTGCAAATTTCACTCGTCACTTACACTTGCTTTTTTCTTTTGTGTTCTTTACAGGACATTTCTGTTCTGGTTAGCAAGCAGAACATATTTGGATGGAATTTTAGATATTTTTTTCCCTTTATTTTCACTGTATTGTACATGCACAGCTTTCTTTGCTTTGCCCTTGCATTTTTCCTGATGTACTTTGTGGAATGCTTTGATCTATTTTCACATTTGCTTCAGGCCAGACTGTCTGTAATAGTTTTATGTATACAGATTGTCTGTCTTTGCTTTCATAGATGAAATTAGTTCATGTCCCTAATACAGCCAAAAATGTCCATGACCTAAATTAATCTGTGTTGTCAGAGATGTTTATTTTCAGTAGTCCAAAGCTTTCAGGAGAACATAGCACCCTTTGTTAAAGCAACTGATGTAGCTGGCAAAGAAGCAGACTAGTAGTAGGAGGCACAGTCCTAGAAAACCTGCCTTTCTATCCCCGTAGATCCTCTGGAATTACAGTATCATTAAATATATCAGCATTTGTGTCTTCTCATTCAGGGTAAGTGTGAGGGCTCAATGTTGAGTAAATGTAGTTCATTGTTTTTAAAAGTCATGAAGTGAAGCTGGGCATGAGTGTTTGTCTTAGTTGGAATGCTGACCACCTGGCAGCAGCCTCAGGGAAGATACTGAGTCAGTTGGTTCA